CCCATCACCGCGCTGGATTTTGGGGAGGGGGAAGCTCCACCCCGCCCCCCCCGGCCCCAAAACACCGCGTTCTCCCCCCAAATCTGGGGGTTCGGTTGCGCCATCGCCGGCACCTCCCCCATGGCTTCCGCCAGCGGTTTCCTTCCCACGGGGGGGGGAGGGGGACACCCCGAGTTGTGCCCCCGCAGAAAGGAACCGGGGGAACTTTTGGGGGGCCCCAAATCCCACCGGGGAGGGGGGGTTGGCTCGGCTTCCCCGCCCCTCACGCGCTCCCGTTATCTCCGGTGTCACCGGAGCGGTGACAGCCCCGGGCGGGGGGAGTGACACCACTCCGTGCCAGCCTCGAGCTGTCCTTAAGGGAACACCCTGAAAGTGTCCCCAAAGCCCGGGTGACATTCGGGGGGACCCGCGGCAGATTTTGGGGTGTGGGAAGAGGGGATTTGTGGCACTGTTGTTCCTGGGGGGCCCTGTTTTGGTCCGAGTGTGAACTCTGCAGTTCAGGCAGTTGGTTTGGGGTAAAATCGCGCTGTTCGGGCAGTGAACTCTTAGCAGAGGAGCGGGCAGGGGGTGGCATTGTCCCCTCYGTGTCCCCTCTCGGGCAGGGTGACACCACCGGCCCCTCAGCACCCTCCCGGCCCAGCGGCCCAGCCCGAAACCGCGGCGCTTGCGTCAGGTATCGGGGGCGGCTCCCAGCCCGGCCCGGCCGGGCGCGGCTCAGCCAGGCCGGACTTTGCTCCCGGTTCCTGCAGGAGCCCCCCCGGAATCCCTGGCGGGGGGGACAGGGACTGAGCCGAGTGTCCCCTCGCTGAGAGTGTCCCCTCGCTGTCCCCACAGCCGGGCGCCGCCGAGGGCAAGGGCGGTGGCAAGGCCAGCATGCTGCGGGGCCGGAACGCGGGCACGGCCGCCGAGGAGCAGCCCCACATCGGCAACTACCGGCTCCTCAAAACCATCGGCAAGGGCAACTTCGCCAAGGTCAAACTGGCCCGGCACGTGCTGACCGGCAAGGAGGTGAGGAGGGCAACCGGCCTGGGGGGGGGGGACAGCGCTGGGGGTGACACTGCGGGGACAGAGTGGGACGGGATGGCATGGAGACACCCTGGGGAGAGGGACACCCTGGGTGACACTGCGGGGACAGGGTGGGA